TCTTTAAATACCCTAAAATATCCAAAAATGGGAATCTGTTCCTGTGATTAAGGACTACATTCATCCGGATGATCATACCCAACCTACTTATGAAATGACTCCTGGGTTTAAACCTTTCACAACAACATATCTATTATACGTAACATCACTGAACCAAACCGATACAAATCACAGCCCCTTCCCTTTCCCCCAAGGGCTAACCCATGCCCATTCCTGAGCATATGACTGGGAAAACTACTTTGCTTACAAGAGATGAAGTCAAATGTCTATGTCTGTCGACCACTTCTTGTACACACTGTAAGCTATAACCATTAATCCAAAGCACCAAAATTTCCCCAGTAAAAAGTGAACCTCTTGAAAGCACTGACTGTCACCACTTATTTTGTGGGTTATAGTTTAACATATTTCGTTTTTCTTTTACATCATGACTGTTTAATACATGGTGTGATCCAATTGCAGTCAGTTTGCTGTACTGTGTCGCAGATATAATCTCACCCTTGCTAGTAATGTCTGCGAGGCAGCAGCAAAATCCTTGTTATGGAACCCTGGCAGACTCAACAAATTACCAAAATTATGGTATGTTTTCATTTTCCCTTTCACTTCAATAATTGGCTAATCAAAAACAGTTGGCTTTTAACAGGCCAATCATGGCACAATATACTCAAATCCTAGTACACTTTTAGGGACCCAACACAAAGATTTCAGCACTGGCTTGCAGACGGACTTAACCGTACCAGAGGTTTAGTTTCACCTATACATGTATGTACGGCACTGGCTGTTGGTTTGCCAGAAAGTCAAGTCACTCAACAGTGCTACACCTGGACTTAAGTTGATTCCGTGGTGAAATAAAACACTCTACAACATGGTTAACATACTAATCAGATTTCCATTGCTGCAATATTTTGTAATGTCTAGTGATCTGAATAATTTCCCAATAATTGTGATGATCATAATTTTTATAGAAACCACCTGAATTAGTAAGAAGTGAAGTCTGGCAACATTGATCACTGTGAGACTTCTGGAACATTTTGAAAGATTAAAGAAAATAGCTGTTGTTTCAAATACAGCTGTGTGGGGACTGTCTAGCATTCAAAGAATGACAAATACATTGTACACAAGGCATATTGGTGTTAGTTCATGTGAGCTACATAAGAATGATCACACCAAAAAAAAAAACAGATTCCATTGACCTCTTATTGAATATGCAAACTGGATAAAGCCATGTTAATGCTGTAGGTAGTGGGTTTGGTTCTGACATTGAATGTTGAAAGGAGACAGTTAGACTCCACAAATCAATGTCTACCACACTTCAGAGTGTGTGAGCCATTTTCAGTTACTGTTCGAAAATGGACTGCAGAGACTACCCTTGCCTTATTACTCCTAAGACATTGTGTCCAACAAATCATCTTAGAATAAGAAGTAGGGACAGTGAAGGGGGAAGGACCTCACTAGTGACTTTAAGTGGGGAGGTTGAGAAGATTCTCCTCTTTGTAAGTCTAGAAAAAGTGTCCACCTTCCCCTATTTCTGCTTTCCCTGAGAAGACGTGCTTGTTGCTGACAGATGTACCTGTCATTCAAATTTCTTATTGGAAACCTGGACTGCTGTACTAGATTGCCAAATCTTGCAGGGTGCAAAGAAAATCATTTTTACAGCTTGCCATTCGGGCAAGCTGAAGCTAGCATTTACTAGCCCAGATGACATTTTAACCCCAGACGCTTTTTGACAAGCAGAATTGATTTCATAGTTCTTCTGTCATTTGAATTGCTCAAAAAACATCACTTGCCTGTCAGCCCGATAGTAAAATCCACAAGCACCGGGCTATCCCACACTACTTTCTTTGCATGCTGTCTTGGCCTGTAATTTTGGGTGGTTTCTTGTATAATTATATTAAAAATAACATAACCTACTTACTGATTAAAGTGAATGACAGTATGCCAAACAAAATCACTAGCAAATTCAGTCTTTGATGTTTAGGCCTAGTCTTGGTTAAGACTTTTATTGATGCTTTCAGGTGATTGTGTACTGCAAGTAAAGCCCAGTTTCCTTCCTGATCTTGTTGAGGATAATAAGACTCTGGAAGGACTAAACTTACGTACAGTATTATTAACACATTTAGGGCCAAGCAAAGGCCAAACGCAGGCATAAAACCGTGGTGCTCAACCAACACTCCACCGACCAAATTGCCAGCAGTCCCGCCAAGGAATATCATGGATTCTAAAACAGCTACTCTCGTGGTTCGCTGGGACTTGTCAGTGATGTCCGAAATGTAGGAGAAAACGCCCAGGAGCGTGGTAGCAAAACCTCCAAATAGCGCAGAGATGGAAACGCCAATGATAATAAAATTGACATTCAGTGAAAAGAATGCGGCATTCATTATGTAATTAATGTACAGCAAAACGCTTCCTACGGACGGCAAAATTAGGATAACTTTACGCCCGACTTTGTCCGACCATGAACCCAGGAGCAGGGAGGCAAAAACCGATGGTAAAGTCGACGAAACAGACTGGTACAGAATCCATTTCGATGTCTTTTGCTGCACATAGATTTCTTGTGGCTTGGTGAGGTTTTTGCAAATTTCACTGTTGTATTTCTCGTGGCAAATCTTTTTGAACGCGAGCTGTTGGATAAGGGGATATGACATAAATAAGCACATCATGTAAGAGAACAACACAGGCTCTACTGTGATTTTTCGAAAATGACTGTAGAACGCCATTTTGTGCCAACTTCCCCCGTTCCCTGATCACCTCGGATACACTTCAGTTGCCTTACATGACTAAGTTGCTGTTCATGAGTTCCTCTTTTATCGCGGGCTCAAGTTGCTTTCTGTCATTTGTCAAGATGGCGGACAACTATAAGCAAGTGAAAGTAGGTCGACTGAAACTCAAAGGAATGGACGATAGCTCAAGAAAACGAAAGCACAAGAAGAAGAAAAGAGAAAGAGAAGATGAAGGAGAACCATCTGATATCGATGCACTTCGCCATGGTGGTTGGAGAAAAGTTGAATCATTCGCTGAAGCTAGCGGTAGCGTCGCGCTGCAAACGTTTAAGAAATCTTACGTGGAGGCCTTAAACAGTGGTTTGTTTTCTGTTGGTGAACCGAGGGATGATGGCGAAAATTCACCGGCTCCTGTTGAAGTATTTACTGCAGTGCAGTTGTCCGATAAAAAAATAGCGCTGAAATCGGGTTATGGTACGTACGGGACAAACTAATACGCGATCGAAGTCGTTCACAAGTTGAATACCTTGTTATTGTCCACATCTTTTCATGAAACTCTCCCATTATCCTATCCCAAATCGGAGTGGCTTCATATTTTCTATTTGTAAGCTCAATAGCAGATGGCGAGGAGACAAAATCACCAGCAAGTTCTCACTTGATTCCATCCACCAAACTGACATCCTCCTCTCACAAGACATTTCACTTTTCTTATATGAAATTTCTTGATGAAATGTTTATAAAAGTCAAAGTGTCTTCAATTTTTAAGGAAAAAAACAATTCAGTATAGATTGAGTAGGATGCGAACTCAGAGCATCCGATCTGGAGTGCATCACTCTAACCCCTACACCACCGAGGATTTGGTGACAAATTCCAGTTTGATTTAAATATATAACCCTAACCCTAACCCTAACCCTAACCCTACTTTGTGTACGAATCATTAATGTGTCAACATCAGTTTGGCGGATGGAATTAAGTGTAGGCCCAAGTTCTCTTGGAATAGTCTAGTTTCGAGTTCGCTATGACCGCTGAATTAAAGAAGTGAAGACACATTTTTTACAGGCTTAGCCTCCATCCGGGGCCTCCATCTGAAGTAAATATATTCACAAATTCCAAAGAGAAAAAGACCTGTTTATTGCTCTGTCTATTGTTTATATTCAAATTTCAAACACTTGCTTGCCGGAATTTCTGAATGTGTCACTTTAAGTCGAGGCTAACGCTGTATGAATGTGTCATTAATGTTTGTATTCAGCGGTAATTTTTAATTCGAAACTGGTCTATTGGATTTGCAGAAGAATACCAGTGGAAGTTGAAAATATTGTGTAAGGCTTTGCCATCGTTGACAGTTCAGTTGGGGCCTCATCCCCTTGTAAACTGGTCAAGGAAATTTTTGTTTGCCTTCAAGGTTAACCCAGTCACTTCCTTAAGTAAATTTGACAAAATTTCCAATTTTATTTTGTAAAATGCTGAAAAGGTTTAATTCATTCGAATAGTCACACTTCAGGATTGTTTTATGCTGATTTCGCTACTTGCCTAGTTCGCTGCGTTCAAGGTCGCTACATGTTCGCTACTAACATGCCAAATTTGCTGCCTCTGTTAATTCACTGTTTTAATTCAAACCGAACTCAGCTAAAACTGCCCATTTCAGGTTGAGCAAGGCAGACTTATTTAAAACAAGATGTCCGTTCTAAAAGATCGTAGAAGTAGGATGACAGAATAAAGAAGTAGCGAATTTGGCATGTTAGTAGCGAACATGTAGCGAACTCGAACGTAGTGAACTAGACAAGTAGTGAAACCTGGCTGTTACCACATGATTTCATCCACAGACCAAACAGCCGGAGCCACCTCACAAGACTCTATCATTTACTCTGGGACTGGTTAACTTTTTGCTCCCATATTAAATTTCGACTTGCATCACCAGTGATCGATGGGCATAACTACAGAATACAGGGCAACTATTTTTAGAATTATCATTATTATTTCAAGTGGTTCAGAGGTTCATTAATGAGATAAAACAACCTTATCATTAAGTGGCTTGGTGACTCAGCACTCCCAACTGAAAAGCCACTGAGGTGCTGGGCCACTAAAATATATATACCGGTACCTTTCTCATTCTTCAAGACTCTAACTTTGACTGACAAGCCACCAAACCCCTAAAATATATACAATGTACTTTCACTTTTTCTTTAAAATGTATCTAACTCTTTATTAAGTTAAATATTTATCTTTCTCATTCTCTTAACATTTGCCTTTACCCAGCGAGCCACCAAGCCACTTCCATTTAAGTCCTGACAACTTGGCCCTGCATTCTGTAGTTGCTTGTGAATACATGTTTGCACTCTTTCTTCCAATGGCAGGGAAGTACATGTCTGTTGATATGATGGGAAATGTCAGTGGTAGATCTGATGCCATTGGTCCACAAGAACAGTTTGAGTGTGTGTTTGAAGAGGATAAAGCTGCGCTAGAAACATACAATGGCTGCTTTTTGTCAGTGAGTGATGAGGGTCAACTCTCTGCAACAAAGAAAATCGTTGGAGAAAAGGAAACATTTTGCATAAGGACCAGTGCTGTGAAAGTGTAAGTCAACTAGTTTTGTGGTGTTAACACTGTGAGAAGTTAATTTTTTTTTTGCATTAGCATACAGAGAAGTCATCCACATAAGAATTGCAGAGTATCCAAATACAAATTCTCCAAAATGATATCCATACATTTCCTTAAAAAATTAGTTGAGAGTATTTGAGTTAAGATCAAAGACTTTTGCCTTTGTGATCATTTTATTCATTCTCATAGACTTTGCTCTTGACAATCTATAGATTTTGTTAGGAGAAAATTGATTTTGGTCACTATTGGGACTTAAAGGGTTAAGGCTCGCCAGCTGCAGCCCAGTCAAAATGAACCAGCAGCATGCAATTTTTGCACTCCTGCAGTGTTTCAGATAAGAGACAGGTCTTGGGTCAATGACCTGACAAAGAAGGCTTCCTGACCTGACAGATGACATATAAGTGTGAAGTTAAATATAACAATAAAAATTAGCTCGTGGTCTTAGTGACCCCTCAGATGGTCTGCATGATCCTGTGCTTGAAAGAATTATTAACTGGAAAGCTGCTCCTGGTGGAATATTTTCTGCCTACTCTACTGTTTAATGATATAAATTAAAATCCACACATAGGCGTATTGTCACCATTGCCCACCCTTATCATAGTTTTCAAATCCTTTGAAGCCCCAAGAGTGACTTGAACCAATTTTCTCTTTCAATGCATTTGTGCTACTGAATTGGTTTTCATTTGGATGGTAACCACTAGGGGTTTTGTCCACAGACTTAAAATATACAACTACATACATCTATCGATGGTTAACTCTAAGGGCTAAAGAAGTACAAACAAGTCAGGTTACTTATGGTTTCTTGTTTATGAACTATTATATGTGAACTGCCGAGTGAAGAATTAAATGACAGATGATCATCCTTCATTTAATTCTTCACTCCGCAGTTCACATATATGATTTTCATATATTCATAACTTCATCTCCATCCTGTCACTGGTTTATAACAAACCAATTCAACGACCTGCTCCCATTTGGCTTGTTAGCTTAATTGGTAGAGCGCTGCATCGGTATCGCAGGGGTCAAGGGTTCGAATCCCGTACAAGCCTGAATTTTTTTCAGGCTTTCTTTTTGCAACTGCAAAAGTTGCGTATATAACTGTGATGATCATCTTGGTTTCTTGGTTTGTTGCAGTAAGGTGTCAACTAGCACCTTACCAGATGGAGAAAAAGAACTAAGGAATCACGAAATTAGCTATGTCAAGAAATTCCAGAGTTTTCAGGACAGGAATCTGCGCCTAAGTGAAGAGGACAACAAGAAACTAAAAAAAGCTAGAATGCAGGGAACATTGCATGAAGAAATGTTGAATAGGAGAGAAAAGATGAAGGCTGATAGGTATTGTAAATAGCCTGTTGTACAATGAAATGTAGTCTGATGACCAGCTTTTTAATAACCAGCCTTTAAAACGCTCTTGAACCTCTGCTTGACATGAAACCATCTTTTTAGAACAGCATTGTTTTGTACTGCAGGGTAGAATATAAAAATCGTACCGGTCCCGAAAGTTCAAATGTGAACAATGTAAATTTCTCTTTTTCATTTTCAAATGCTAAAATAAGTTCAGGTTGAATGGGCACAATGTGAGATCTCATCCACAGACTTTAAATTAAGAAAATGTTTTTATAGTGTAATAAAACTTATATTACTTTCACAAGGCACTATTTAGAGCTGTGATAGTGGCTTGTAGAAGTACAGACTTGCCTCAAGGCGACCTGACCAGGTCACAAGTTTTTGAGTGGGTAGAGCGAGCTTTTTAGGCGGCAAAGTGGCCAAGCAAGCAATGAAGTCTGATGAAGGACTTTTTTTGTAAGTCTAGTAGAATTACTGTGGAAGAGGTTTTATTTGAATGGACTCACCATACTGTACGATATCATGCACAGCTTCAAAAGTTAGAACCTGTTTATACATGACTAGTACAGCATGACAAATTTTCCATTTTAACGTACCGCTGAATAGGTCTCATATATGATCATATCATAGGAGACTGTCTTCAGACTTCTAAGTTAAGCCAATATTGTGTTGTATTTTATTTCCTAGAAGAGAACCACTCTGGTCTTTGGCAATGGTTTTTTCTATTAAATCAATCGATTAAAAAACTTGTAAGTTTTCATTCTCCTGCTAGCATGTAAATTTATATGATTGGGATGAAGATTAGCTCTCATTTTAGACTTGACTGCTATAATTTATTTTCTTGACAGTAAACTATAACTTTAAGTTAAAACATCTGGAGTGTAATCAGGCATTTTGACATGACAATGGAACCAGTTTAATAATATATTCAGGTTTTAATCAGATTGCTACCAAAAATAAATTCATATCCGCGTTACAACAGCTCCACACAATTTAATGGTTCTTTTTTTTAACTAGCTGATTTGTACCTGCCCCCCACCCCCGCCCAAATAACTATGAGGAAAATATTTAAGAAACAATATATACATGTTTCTTTTTTAAAAATTCAGTACGGTTTTTGTCTAAATAATTGCCTAAAATTCAAATGGAGTGGGTGGAAAAATTGCGTATTAACTTAAAAGCATGTAAAATCGTCGTCAATTGATATTACTTTACACCGATTACCTATAATTGTAACTTTACTTTGGTAAACCTCACTGCGGAATAAGTGGGAAAAGTGCTAATCTGCAATAAGCGTATAACACATTGAAAGTTATTCATTGGGGTTGCTTTACACTAATTCTACTTTCACTTTGTAAAACCAACGTTTTCAACTTTTGTTTTCTTTTCTTGTTTTTCTTTGCTTGACACAGTCTGGCCTCTAGTAACGGCCAACTCTCCACAATGGGACGATTCGCAACGACGATTTTCAGCGTATCACAGCATTACAACATTGTTGCGACATTGTATCGAGCTGTTACAATATTGTTCCAACATTGTGTCCCTAAAAGTCGTTTTTGCGAGTCGTCTCGTGTAGCATCGCCAGAAAGAAAGGACCCAACTGCCAGAATGACCACTTCTTTCGTCCCCAAGCTCGCTTTTGTGGCGAGGTTCGACTGTGTGAAGTTCGTGTCCTGAGCAAATCTATAAATGTTGCACTTAGGTCAAGAAAAACTTGCTCAAAGTCTTTTTCAAATTATTTTGCCCATTATTCATTACTGTATGTCATGACACTTGAGCAAAATTGTCATTTACAAACTGTGTTATTTTATCCATGAGTGATTCAGCTATCTCCAATGCGTCTTGCGCTTGTTCGAAAGTGAACGCATCAGATGGTATGACGTCACCTCTGTGATAATGAGGGTACCTGGTCTGTTCGTAGTAGTTCTTCAGTTTGGCCGCAAGGACAGGAATGTCCTCAGGCGACCCATCTAGTTCAGTAATTTCGTACGCAAGGTTCAACACATCGTGTGTCTCCAGTTGGCTTTCAGAGATGCCACAGGCGGCGTACAGAGCACTCTTAAAAACCTTTTCGGTGGCTTGCTGACATAAGAAGCAAACCAAAGCTGAGAAGGTCGCCTCTTGAGCGTGCATGTTTCTAGCGGCCGTTAGATCCTCTTTTGCTTGTTTCAGCCACCGCTTTGCTTCGTTTCTCTGAGGGTTGGTCGACCGTTTGGCGTACGGCGTTCCCTGATGTGCCTGGCGCTTGAAGGTGTTGTAAGTTTGTCTCTCCTGCCGAGCTCGCTGGTTCCACTGGTTGAAGAAATCGTTAAATCCTCCACCACCGTTGCTCTGTCCCTGGTCTTTGGCATCTCGTACATTTTCCCTCCAAGAAGAAGGGAAGAGCTTCTCCATTCTTTCTATTTCGTTGAGCAGGAACTGCATGACGTCATTAGCGATATCGCAGCCAACATTCTTGTCTGGATGCCACCGCAAAAACAAGCGTTTTATCACTTTCCTTCTCTCATTTTCAGGCAACTTCCAAGCTTCCCAAAGAGTGTCTTTAATTTCTCGCTTTGCTCTCTCTAGGCGTTCGTTTCTTGTAGCTGACTTGTGCTCAGTGTTGTTGGGATCTCCAGTAAAGAGCGTTACCTCAAGAGAGTCCGAGAGTTCAATAGGCACGGTTGGCACCTCTTTAACAGAGCGATCAAACTTATACAAATCCAAAACACTGACCTCCACGAGTCGAGGTTCTCCAATGTCGATGCGATATCTAGCTTGGAAATCAAACTTACTGGTGCCCATAGATCGTTTACGATTAGGTACTTTTCTTACTACTTTTGCGTACACATAAAGAGGCTCACTGTCATCGATTTCACCATCTTCCGTTCGGTGCTCTTTCTCGTAGCCCACTATTTCGCCTTGTCGAAAAAAGTACTCGATATCTTGCCTGAGAAGGTAGTGATACATGACTGGTATCTCTGATCCAAGAACAGGTTCTGTAGTCCGCGCCTCACTCCCCATGAGGTCTTGAGCGACTCCACATCTGTCGAGAGAGGGGAGAATCTCATCTGGTACCCTGCAAGCTAGCATCGCTTGAAGGTAAATCTCTTTCTCTATTTGGTTGCGAATCAAACGATTTACTTGAAAACACAGCTGGATATGTAGAGGGTTTTCGTCCGTGCCATGCCTTATGAATAACTCCCATTGTCCATTTTGTTCTTCTAAGAAACAGTCTTGTGTCTCATTACTGTCCTTAAGTGACCGTCCTGATTCTAAAAGAACCAGGTGGGTGTCCAGTGAGGCCATGCATGTCACACTCAGGGAGCTGCAAAGAACCTGGACTTGATCTTTTACTTCTTGTGGAAGATTAGGCGTTTGTCTTTGGTGACGGATAACTCGGAGAATACCATTCACTAGCTTTGGAGACAACAGTACATTCCGATATCTGTTCACGAATGGACAGGAATCGTTTGAACCAAGGGCACTATCTGCTATACAGTGCTTGTCTCTGCAGCTTGGATGAATCTCTTCTCGCAGCAGATGCTGAATAGTTTTAGCTCTTAGGCGCAATGGTAGTAGACTTAAGAGGTACGAAAGGCGGTCTGCAGTGAGTTCGCCCTCCCGACTTATGTCTACAAAGTCGCCAGCAAAGTCCCTTGCACGTCGCTCAAAACTTGGGCAATCGTGAAATATCAGTTCGTTTGATTGCTTAAGAAAACCTTCTTTGCTAGGTAAGTAAAGTTCATTAAGTGATGCCAGACGTCGAGCTGCGGCTTCTTCACTCTTTTCTTTCACCAACAGTGACAGTGTTGTAAAGAAGCCATGCGTTGCCTCTCTTGCCACTCTTTTCTCGTTTGGTTCCATGTGTTTATCTTGACACACCTCTTTAAGCCTCCCAAGTATATCCGCAAATTGTGATGGTGTGGGTTTTTCAGTTGCCCCAAGTCTTTTAATCAGATGCTCAAAGTGACCATACTCTCGTGGTACCTTATAGAAGTAAGGTGCAAGTTCTATTGTTGTTTCAAACGCCAACTGACTTCCTTGAACAAACACCCGTCCTTCTTCAACGGGAATACATGGGATTTTCCTCAGAATGGTTTCAATGGCAAGACATGACTTGGTACATCTTTCAGACAAGGCCGTGCCAGGACAATTGCACTCGCTCTTCATGAAACTGAATGACTCGTATATGACATCATGCAGAAGCTCTCTTTGCTCTTTGGGAGTGTCTTTGTGAACGTTCCCACTGTGCGCCTTTGTTAGAAAATTAACGTGATTTATGACTTTATCAAGTGGCGGAAGAGGTGAGACTCCGAGGTCCTCTAGTAACTGTTTCTCGGCGGTTTGTGGAGTAGCCCAAGCTGGGAGAAGGGGCATACAAGTCCAGGCAAGTCTCTGTTGCTCAGACGGTAAAGCGCCATGAAATTCAGTGAAAGGGGGAACGTCTTCAATTGAAGGGCAACCAAATTGGGGCTGTAGTTTTCTCAGCTCAATCGCAGCGACTTCTGCTGCTACAAATTTTATGCTTGAGACGATGTGAAGAAAGCTTGGATCATGCAAATCATCTTGCTGAAATAAGCACGTGACTAGTGTTTTGGATTTGTCTTGTATTAATGGATCCTTAAATCGAGTCGTAGCCTCCGAGGCCAAGTCTTCGGTAAACTCGATAAATTGCTGCTGTGTTACGGTTTGCTTTAAACCAATCTGTCGGAGCATCGGAAGCCAGTGGGACAATCTGTACTCCTCCGGTGGAAAGTCACTTACAGGAAGCATTGCTTTGAACACCGCATTCTCGGGATCATAAAACTTGCTAGCAGGAAAGAGAGTTCCACCGTCACTTGGAAAGATATTGGTCTCTCGCAGGGTTTCTAGGAGAGTGGTTCTCTCACGAGTGTTCTTCAGGGTGACAAGGAGTGTGTCTCTGATGTACTGGAGAATTACTTTAATACTCGATGAAGACATAACATCAAGATTTGGCAAGATATACTTTACGGACACTTCAACTTGAGAAAGGAAAGTGATGTCAAGTGCCTTATAAAGCGGTTCGATTTCTTGTATTGCTTCTAACAGGACGCAACTGTCTTCCTCTATGCGATCCTCTACCTCTGCCAATGGCACACACTGCGGTAGGTCAACGACATAAGAAAAGGTGTACGAATCGAGGCTAACCAATGTCCCATTTAATGTCTTGTAAAGGGGGAGTTTCTTCAGTAGAGACTGGTTGCTGTACACGGTCGTTACGTCTTCTTGCAGAAATCTAAGAAGAGTAGTAATTTCCCTTTGACTGAGGTCGCAATGGAAGTTATCATCTTTAGACAAATAATGCAAGACACTGAGCACATCTTGTCGTGAGTATGGCTTTGCGAGGTGTGACGATACAATCACGGAAGCGTCTTCTCTGTTTGCCCTTGTCAGAACGCTAAAATCTATTTGCGAGCTTCCGAGTTTGCATAGGATTCTCACCATTCTATCGTCGTCGTGGATGCGAGAACTTAAATCCAACACTGTCTTGCCGAGGGACAGTGGCGCAAGAGTTCCCCTAGAGGTCGGGAGAATGGGCCAGTCATCAAGTGGTCGCAGTGTTTCGGAAGCATCTTCGTTATCTTCAAAGTTTGATTGCCTTTCTTTGTACGTGTTCACGATTAATTCCCAAAGTGTTGTTAACCACTCAACTGACGGTAAAACAGCTTCGCTTGGTTCCCATGAGACGTGCCTGTCACAAGCAAACCATCGAGATGGCAGAATTTGGATCAAGAAAGGTTCAACAGACTTAGTGTCGAAACGTTTAAAGACCCCCGCCTTGCAAAGCTGATTCGTTGAATACTTGGCAAACAATGGAATAAATTCTTTGTTGACAAAGAGGTCTGGTTGCGAAGGCACAAGACTTGAAAATGGCGTGAGAAAAACTGGATTTTTGTGATCGAATTCTCTGAGCACCTCGTCATCGGTAAGTAGGAGGGGAAGACCATTTAAACGCTGAAGAAAATTTTCGTCTTCCATGCAGAACTGTACCAATCGCTTAAGGTCACTGGCGTCTTTGAAGGTAGTTTTTTTGATAGAGCACGGAAGCGCTAGCATAGAATGCCTCGTTTTTGCAAGGTAAGCCAAAACGATGTCAGGACTCACTGTTTTCACTATAGCTCCCGCTTCTTTAAAATTATAATAGAGTTTTGGCGGCACGTGAACGATGGGAAGGCCAACTTTGAGCAATAGTTCCTCCAGATCTGGATCGGAAGGGACGCTGAAAAATGCCTCTTGGTCGTCTTTGTCACTGCATGGTGGAACCCATAAACAATTGCAATGTGAATTTGTGCCATACATGGAAAACCTTAGAGGGGAGGCCACTATGTTTGTAAGAGGCGGTTCACTGCGTATGATTGGAAGGACAGTTTG